TCACACTGGCACTGAGGGGAATGTACTTGGCCCAGCTATTGAAGCCGAGCCTGAATATGCCCTGCGCGCCAATTTTTGCCGAGCCTGCGGGGAGCGGGAAAAAATACGGGACATCTGCTGCTGCAAGCAGGTACCGCCCCTTCCTTTAGACCTGCTGCCAGCAGATGGAACGTAAACAGGCCGTCGTTTTGGCCGTCGTTTTCTTGTTTCCACTCACGCATTCAATGCTCCCATGAAGCATCTTCTTCCAAAAAAAAAAAGACAGAAACGTGAACGCCGTCCAGCAGTGAAGCCAGATACATGCGTCGAAGTTGCAACGTTACACTGCCTCTGGGACCTGAGGCAATGAATGCTCCCCGTCTCTCACGGGGAGCAAGTGCAGAAACAGCCAACTATCTTATTATAAAAAAAAAAAAAAAAAATGGAAAAGGGGGAAACGGGAAACAGGCATCTGAACTTGATTGGCCTGAGATTCATACAACGCGTGCAGCAGTGAAGCCAGATACATGCGTCGAAGTTGCAACGTCACACTGCCTCTGGGACCTGAGGCATTGAATGATCCCCGTCTCTCACTGGGAGCAAGTGCAGAAACAGCCAACGATCTGATTACCCAAAAAAAAACAAAAAAAACGAGACGGGGGAAATGGGAAACCAGCATCTGAACGTGATTGCCCTAAGATTCATATAACGCCGTGCAGAAGTGAAGCCAAATACATTCTTCCCCCCCCCCCCAAAAAAAAAAAAAAATGAAAAGAAAGAAAAGCAACCATCTATCTTGATTTTTTCCTCGTCCGTTTTCTTTTTTGTTTTTTTGCCTCCTTGCTACCACTGTCCGCGCGTTTCCAGACCACCAGGACAAGCAACCATCTATCTTGATTTTTTCCTCGTCCGTTTCCTTTTTGTTTTTTTGCCTCCTTGCTACCACTGTCCGCGCGTTTCCAGACCACCAGGACATCGTGCAGTCCTTTTGCCCTGTTTCCATGGGGCCACCAGCTCCCTCCCCCATTGCCATGCCAAGCCTTTGCCGAGGCGCGGGAAATGCGAAGCATTAACGCTAAGGGCCCGCGGCCGATGTATGGGCCAAGTACTGGTGGTTTAATCCAATTTCAAGAGGGATGTATCAAACCACAAGCACACCACCCAAGCAAACAAAAATATTGAAAACGACGCAGCGGTAACGCTGCGCTAGCGCATCCCTATTACGATGCGCGGGCAGTGGGGGATTGCAGGGGGGCAGCTGTGGATAAGCTGCACTTAGCCAGAACTTGCTGTTGGGTATGGCGGAGGCGGAAAGGTGATAGAGCGTGTGGGCGCTTTGAGGGGGCACAACCATGCACCTGCCATAACCTACTAATCTTGGCCGACAAAACTTGGTAATCCTAGATGGGGCGCAAAAGGAAGGAGAGAGATGTGGGGTTGGTCAATGGGCAGGATCTGGGCCAGCGAACAACATCTTTCTTATTATGTATGGTGTGCGTTAATTGAAATAGAATAGAAATGGGGGCACAATTTATTTAAATAAACAGGCTTCTGGAGGACTACAGCGATAGATAGATCGCTGTAGTCTGCTCGCTCTGGCCAGACCTTTCTCTCAGGCATAATTTAATTGATTTCCAAAGGGTATACATATCAGTATTACTACCTGATTAGGGGCTTTGCCCGCTGATTATAGATACGGAGAACGAATGCGTTGTTGGAGTGGATACATTTTAATCTGGATGAAGAGCTCGAGATGAAAGACGTGAGTACATTGATAAACGTCGACTTCCGGGAGATACGGAGAACGGACTTCATGCTGTGATCGGTATCGTCCACCGTCGCTGACAACGGACTTCAACCTGTGAGCGGGGTTGTCCACTGTTGCCTTCACTCCTTCTTCGGGCAGGGTGTTGCTGAAGATTTCCTGATTTCTGGTGCTTTGACAGTTATTGACTGTGTATCCCTAAATTCCAAGCGTTGCGAGTATAGATGATTGTATTTTCCTAGATTCTAATCGTTAGGACAAGTCTTGTGAGTATTTGTGATTGGTATTTTGTGAACTGCCAATTCGACAAGGTTTTTCATAATTCTAATTAGGTGTCCATTTTGTTAGTGTTTTCAAGATGATTTTAGAAGTGTTACTTCGTTGGATTATGTTCCCTGTCGGTTTTGCCTATGGGTTGGGTAATTCCATTACATCATTGCTTATCCGTGGGTAAGACACTATTGATTTTTTGTGTTCTTAGTTGGTAGTGGGTAAGTAGAATGGAACCATTGCATATTTTGTTTATGTGTTGGTTGGTGGTCTGTTATCTATCGCTAGATTGGGGTTGTTTCATAATGGTGATTTGGAGAAAGGGGTAGATTAGGATTTGAGTCTTGTTAAATTAGGGAACATGAATTTTGTTTTAGGGTTAGGATTGGGATCATAGGTTTCGTAACCTTGGTTGGTGGAGATTAGGGTTGTTTGATAATGGTGGTTTGGAGAGGGGGTAGATTAGGATTTTACTTTTGTTAAATTAGTGAACGTGAATTTTGTTTTAGGGTTGGGATTCGGATAGTTGGTTCTCGTAACCTTGTGAGGCTGTGGCGGGGATAGGTTTGGCCGGGAGGGCCTTACTTAGCCCGTTTGACCACAGCAAATGATGTAAGGGACACCAGGCCTGTTTCCTGGATATATGAATAGGAATTGTGCTGGGGGCAGGGATGGAGGCCAAAAAAAAAAAGGAAAGAAAAAGAAGGAAAGAAACCAAGAACTATGAATCCACCGACGACAGGAAGACCCTCACGTAGGTGGAAGTTACATCAGTGCTTTGAGGAATGTATCTGGCCATTATGTGAGGACCATGAGGCATGTTGTTTTTGTTTTTTGCTTTTTGTTGTGAGGCCCATGTAGCGCCCTGCCAGAGGTGTAGGCAGGGCGGATTCAACACGAGGCAGCTAACTGCCTCGCTTCATTTAGTTCGAGACAAGTAGTCTAGCATCCTGTCTGTATCATCACAGCATAAGGGGTGCTTTTTTTCTTTTTCTTTTCGTACTTGCTGTCCGTGATAGACGCCCTCACTGAGGGCACAGTCACAGTAGCACATCATAGAATGTATCTGATGATTATCACGGCGTCGGG